CTTAATCTATCTAATTCTTAGAGAGGTCACCTATAATTTACTCCCTCCGTTCTTAAAAACTCTTCCTCTTTCATTTTTTTTACTTCCAACAAAACACTTCCACTTTCTATTAAAAAACCATTTTTACCCTTACTTTTTCATACCCTACCTATCACATCATACTTTTTCTCTAATACTCAATCCATCACATCTTACTTTTACCCATCACATCAAGGGCAAAATTGGAAGTCAACTACAATTTAACACTTCCTTATTTTTACACAAAGTCAAAATAGGAACACTTTTAAAAAATGGAGGGAGTAATTAGTACAATGGTATTGATAAATTGGGTTAACATAAAGCATGATTGTTTGGTAGAGAAATTGAAGTAACCAAGAGAGTATATGTTATTGATTTTCTATTGATTTTCTAGTAAAAAAATCGGTATATAAGCTCTTGAGTTGAACTAACTAATCGATTGGATTCAATCTTTTAATGTGGTTCAACCCAAGTGTCTTATTGCCCAATCTAATTATCCAGACTCAATCCTAAATTTATCAGCTATTTAGCACCTAAGCTATGACCATTATTCACTTTGTTCTTGAAAATTTTAAATGAGAGTTTGATAGAAGTATTGTACAATATTAACGTAAAGTCTATACATTGAGTTTCCTTAAGAGAAAAATACATAACAAAGACTAAAATATGTTCTATGGTATATATCAAAATAAGTCTTTAAAGGTTTTTATACTGAAATAAGACTTACAATGTCAAAAAATGTGAAAAATACTATGAGAAACTAATACACAATGCTAAATTAGGAAGATTTCACAAGCTTACACTTCTAACTAGGGGATAAACAAATGAGATCTTAATTTTTTTGAATACTAAGTCTGAACTTTAGGTTGAAGTTGGTTCCTTGACGGAATATGTGAAAAGAAAAAAAAAGAGGTCCTTAAGAGAAAAGAGCAATATGAGGTAGAGAAAGGTGACAAGAAAGAAAATATTTTTTCCTCATTAGTTTTTTTGTGATGAGAAAATTAAAATGAGGGGACGAACAATTATATTGTCGTTTTAAAAGCTGATTCAATTTTATTTTCAAAAAATAAATTTCTAGTCAATCTCCATGTAAATGAAAATAATGTTCACGCACAAGTTAGGACGATGCGCCCATGCCACAATCTAGCTGGCATGGGCGTGGAGTTTCAATAAAATTCAGGCTCGTCTGAAAGATCCATATATGTCAGATGCAATGTAAATCAGAACAAGGCCGGCGTTGAGCGACAACTTCCAACCTCGGTGCCGCCTAAAAGTCCCGAACGTGCATTTGGGACTCACGCGGCACCGGGTTTGTTAGTCGTCTGCTAGTTTATATATAGCAACCATAGTTTTAAAAACCGGACTAAACCGGCCGGTTCGGACCGTGAACCGGCGAACCAGTGGTCCAACCGGTCCGGTCCGGCCCATTGGACCGTAATGCGCTTCGAACCGGTCCGAACCGGTGTGAACCGGTAAGAACCGGCCGGTCGGACCTGTCCGACCAGTGTTTTTTTTTTTTTTTTGCAATTTTTTTGCAAAACTTCACTCCATGGAGGTTTGAACCCAAGACCTTTTAGCTATTTGGTTAAGTTCTTAACCATCCAACTAATGTTGTTTGTTTTTTCAAATTCATATAATTTTTTCTAATATTTCATAATTAATAAAAAGATTGTATAAAAATTACTTTTAAATTTTAAAAATATACTCCCTCGTCTCATTTTAAATTGCATGTTTGCCTTTTTTCTCCGTCCCAAAATAAGTTGCCTGTTAGTTGTTTTCGTAAACTTTTAAAAATAAAATACCTAAACTACCCCTAAAATAAGTCACTCTTCTTCACATTATCTTCTAATTTATCATCACCCCTCCTAAAAAATAATGTCAATTTTGGAAAATCAACTCTATTTTTTATTTTCCTTAAATACGCCCAAAAGTCAAAATAGGCGATTTAAATTGGGACGGAGGGAGTAATAAGTAGTATTATATGCTATGAGTCAAACACAAAATCATTGATATGTTTTTAATAAAATTTTAATATTATTTTTAACATGTAAATTTTATATTTTAATTTAGTAAAATAACTCAAGTATGTTAATATAATTTTAGTCAAAAAATTACTTTCTTTATGTATTTATATATGAGAATGTGTGTGTGTGTGTGT